TCTTTAGAAACTGGGGGTTACTGTTTATATGGGGCAAATTATGACTTAAAACATAAAAACATGACTTTATTCAAATACATGACTGTGAATTTATCTGGGTGATTCATTCCTACATTTTGGCAAACATCCTTTGTTTTGGCAAACACCTTGAAGTCTTTTGAGTGTGATCCAACTCAGCAACTATCCCTGAGCTCTTGACCAGTAAGCAGCTGACCTACTCCCTTTAATCCCACAAGTGAGATTTATCTGAACACAGAATCAAGTGATATCTAACAAACTCTTTAGATAAAGAAACAAGATTCAAATTCATATCTCTAATTAAAAAAATGATGTACAGTCACTATGAAGAAACTTCCCTTCTATATACTATCACGTTCAAACCCATGGCAAGTACAAGAAGCAAAGAACTCCTACCTCCACAGGGAACTTTCATTCTGGGTCAGTCTTTAGGAAAGTCATTGGGTGAAATTAACAACTGTGACATTTATATGATGGTGAAGAAATGAAACTGTCTATCAAAGTTTGTAATAATAAGGCCTATTTGTGCTTATTAGTTTGCTCTTTGGGTCAGTACTTTATTTCTGCACACTTGTTTATACCATGCTGTCTGTGGTTTTGTATTCTCTCTAGCTCCAATAGAAAAAACAGCTGAAAGTATCATAAAATAACTCAAATCTCAGACAGTACCAGAATGGAACTCAGGCTGGTATTCTTGCTTGGGTGCAGCAGCATGGTGAAGGAGGTATGTACAATTATAATCACTTTGCTTTCCTGTTCAGATTATGAACCACACTAACCATCTGTCATCATGATTAAAGTCCAATCTCCTAACAGTACTGTATGCTTTTGCGAACAAGAACCCATACTTTAGGCACAAGCAACTTGTGCTTTAGGCACAAGCAACTGCTCTGTGAGGTCAATCAAGATACATTTGGATCCTATAGCTCTTTAGTCCCTCGTGCTCCTGGACACATGAATCCTAAGACAATGCTGTCATGATTCAAGACTTTACCTTGTTATTGTGCTACACACCTCCTATCTCAAGAAAACATAATTGTAGTGATTTACAGAATCAAACTCTATAACCCAGAGTTAGGTTATAAAGCAAGTATGTTTTTATTCAGCATTTGGCGCCAAGGGGGTGCAAGGGGATAGCTCCTCTGAACTTGCACATCGGAAGACAAAAACTTGGTACAGATATAGGCCAAACTAATACATAATCAGTGTTTGTCCCGGAATTCATATACATATTCATTACATTTCCGAGAATCCATCAGCACACGGTCCCTCCCTCTTGCACTTGCGCCGTGGTGGTCATGGGATGAAGGTTCATTGTCTTCCACCGAAGTAATCCGATCCTGACCTGTTTCTTGTGAGATGTTTTCTTCAAGTTTACAATAGAGTTTCAAGATGTTCTTTTCTTATCTGGCCTGCATTTCTATACAATAGTTAACCCTTATCTTGTCCTCTCTTTACTCACATACCTATACAATGGTTCACATCCGGCTTCTTTTGTCTTGGCTTCCTTTTACAGCCAGCCCATGTTTACCTTTCATCCTCTAATTCAGTAGGGGTTGGAAGGGAACTCCAAAAATCATGTAGTCCTACCTGATGAAGTAGACTCCCTAGAGAGGGTTACATAGGAAAGGGATTTGAATATCTCCGTAGGATACTCCACAAATCTTTGGGCAGCCTTTTCTAGTGCTCCCTCACTCTCAAAGTAAAGTAGTTCTTTGAGAACTACATAAAAACCCTCTGTTTTTATGGAAATTCCTGTTTTCTAGTTTGTGCCCATTACCCTTTGTCCTGTCACTGCACACAACTGAAGAGTTTGGCCCCATCCACTTGACTCCTTCACTTTAGATATTTATCAACAGTACTGAGATCCCTTCTCAGCCTTCTCCTCTTCAGGCTGAACAGTCCCAGGTCTCCCAGCCTTTCTTCATACGGGAGATGCTCCAGGTTAGCAGGAGAGCCCTGCTTTTTTTTTTTTTTTTTTTTTTAAATTGGGAAGCCCAGAACTGGATCACAACTCTCTGAACTCTACTAGACAGCCAATTCTCAATCCATCTCAAAAAATCTTCAGGCTTGCTGACACTGGCTGATATGCAGCCTATCTAGGGAACTGCCTCAGCTCAGGGCTGTTTTGCATTGCCCTAAGGTGAATCCCAAATGTGAGAGTAGGCTGCACAAAAGGGGCTGACTGCACCAAAGCTCCTTTCAGTTCTTTCTCCAAGATATCCTTCCTCACAACAATCTGTACCAATATCAGACACCTGCACCACATTAGAGAACCAGACTTGAGAGAAGACAGCTAAACTATTTGCAGGAATGGCAGAGGCATGCACCAGGTCCAGTGTCACTTATCTTTGGAGGTGGGGAGGAGGTTGCATCTGTCAGCCAGAACTTCCTGTGTCATCAGTAGGCTAAAATGCACAGTAGCAATGTTCCATCTGTTTTTTTCCTAAGGTCTTCCTCCTTGTTTTCTTAGAAAGATCACACTGACTTAGAAAGATCACACTGACACACACTGAAGTAGATCAGGGAAGCAGAGTTTCAAAACCAACTTGCTCTCTCCTAGTTAATCTAGCCATACACTTGTTGCCTACAAAAGCTGATCTGGCAAGAGGGCAAATGATAATTTTGCAAGTCATGATATGAAGAAATATCTTTGCATGCTCTACTGATCAGCTTTGCTGGGTCCCAGCCACAAGCTTTCCTTCCCTATTCCTTTTTCACCTTGTTCCATCTACTTACTGCCACATCGTCAGTCATCCCTTTTCTGCTTTCAATTAGCTTTGCTTTCAAATACTGAACAGGAATAGCATGTACGAAATTTGTCTGGGTCTCTGCAGCAGATATCACAGATAGCTCAGGGAGTTGCAGAGCAACAAGTTACTGTCAATACATATGACTTACAGACAACATGTTAAGCCATTAACTTGTTGGTTGCATTAAGTGCTTATGTAGACGTGCACACCTTAGCTGTAGGTAAGGTGTTTGCATGTTTTTATGTCTCAGATCATGGCAGCTCAGGGAATTCCATCAACACCAAAGAGGTGGAAGAATACCTTTCTGCGTTATGCAGTGTACCATCAAGGCTGGACTAAAGAATAACATACTATTCTATAATCACTTTAAGAGTGATTCTCTCATAGCAGGGACAGGAAAGTCACGTAGGAGTCAGCCTTATTTTTCTGATTAAGTTTTATAGGCTTGAATTTATGAGATTTGCGGAGGAGAATCAGTTTCCAAACTGCACCTAAAGTCTTAATGACTTTTGACTACCAGAAGTGGGATGAACTTCGTACACTGCTGTACAGATACATTGCTGTATAGAATCTTCCACTGACTAGCACTAGCTCATTTACATGATCTCTTCCCTCATTTATGCATTTGTATCATAACTGGACCACCAACCTTTATTTTTTCAGGCAAATATACTTGATTAATGAGGTACTTGAATAAGAGAACATGAAACCTAGAGAAACAAAAAACTTAAAGAAATTTCCTTTTTTAAAATTTATTTATTCTTTATTTATTAATAGCACCCAAAGCTGCATTATATTAATACAAGCAATAAAGTTTTCATATTTTACTCCTACCAGTGCATTTCCAAATCCAGGTGAAATGCTGGAAACAAGTAATGCTGCCATATCATGAACACAGAGTGTAGATCAAAATGATACACCACTTAAAATGTATCCCCATGTAATTAAAAAAAAAAAAAGGAAAAAAAAAAGAAAAAAAAGTACACACAAAACAATCGTAGTTTGGGCATGAAACCTGTAATCTAAGGAACTGTGGTCATTTTTATTTCCACAAGTACTGTAACAACAAAACAATGGCTGTAGGAACTATAAAGAAAACATGCTTTATCATACTTTTTGCATTACTTTATTGGAAACTCCATGTGCTGGATGTACAATTTATAGCTATAGTGTGTATTGGCTACAATTCTACAAGTGTGTATTGCTTGTAATACAGAAAGAGTAGTGAAATGTATGGACCTGTCTGCACGTTTAACAAAATGAACCAGCAATATGATAAAACTGCACCACATATGAATATTGTAAATGGTTAAGCTATAAAGTCATTTGTTAAAAAAAAAATCCAAATATTTCAAAGAAAAAAAAGTGTAGTAAAAAAATGTAGTAAAACATAAATTACATTTAAAGGTCTGTACATGATCCATCCTGCAAACAGAAGACAAAAACAGCACTCTGTACAACTTTGCTTATTTTGGTCTTCTAAAGTTCAAAGAATTGTTTTCACTAAACCGGCAGGAACGAAAAACATGTTTTCACACGTAATCCAGCAGTAATTGCAGTAGATCAAGTGAGTTTATAACCCCCCACAAAACCCAACATTTTTACAATGTAGGAACGTGTATGTGGAGTCTTTTCCTAAACTTGACAACAAATATGCAATTAAAGTTGGATTGTTAAGTTAGTGCACTCCTACAATATCCCCATTTTTGGTTAACAGTGTATTAAGGCTGCTTGCTGCTGAAAATACACAGCAGAGAAGGAATACTTCCATCCACAAATGCAGTCAGATGATCTCATTTGGAAGCTTCTGTCACAGTCATTCATAGGGAATGATGAAAGAAAGACATCTTCTCTTCTCTCATGTTATTCCACAGGATGTTGTGGATGCTCTAAGTTTATGTGAGTTCAGAATTACTTGTATAAACTCATGGAAGAAAATTCCATCAAAGGCTATTAAACAACAAAAAAAAATTCCAACTCTGGCTTGGGAATTTCCTAAGCCACAAGTTGCTGATGCTTGTGAAAACACTTTGGGGAAATGGTACAATTGTCCTTGTACTCTTCCCCAGGCAGAAACTACTCTCTTTGGAGACATGCTACTGGGCTAGGCAGACCCATGGTCTCACTCAGCACAGCCTATTATTTTACATTGTTTCTCTACTTTTCTGGTTACTTTAATACAACTATGGATCCATACTCTCAACTTGGCTTTTTTTTTTTTCTTTTTTCTTTTTTTTTTCCAGATTTGAAAAGCAAACAACAATCTTGTGTCCATTACATCAAAAGATAAATACTATAAACTAAGCTGTCCATCACAACCAGGGCACTTCTTTATGCTGAGAGCAACTGTAGTTGGATTCCTTTTTTGTGTTAATGATTTAAGCATAATTCACTAACACTACACTCACATATCGTGATGTGCAATGTTACTCTGCAGTATGTTGCACAGCAACAGTACATTACTGAAAAGCAGTTTCCCTCAAGAATTGTAATACTGCAAAAAAGATGAAAGCCAGTAAATTCTGTACCACCAAATTTGCAAAATGCTGACAGTGATAATGGTCAATAAATTCAGTATGTCATTATTGCTGCAATTTATATTGGTATATATATTTTTGGTTGTGCTTTTTTTTCACTGTATCAAAATCTCTGATGTTAAGCTTAAGGATCTACGACGCCAAGCACAGAAGTGACGTGAAATTCTTAGTAATAAGGCCAAATCTCTTAAGCTTCTGACTGAATTTCTGCTTCATCCATCTGAAGTGTGTCATTATCACCCAGCAATTCTGTTTCTGGCACAGATCCCTCCTCTTCCTCCTCCTCCTGGACAGGATTCTGGGCAATGTCTTCTGTTCCATTGTTTGTGTCATCTGTGCCCTCTGAGAGTAGAGCAGCCCTGTCAGCCACCGATGCATTGGAAGGAGCTGTTGTTACATAGCCTGTGCTGGTGGATCCACTCCCACTATGGTGGGAGCCTGGTTTGGGAATGATCTGGGGGGGCATTTGCTGAGGAGCCATTTGCATTGGAATTTGAACAGAATAAAAATTTGGCAAATAAGCCCCATAAGCAGGCATTGGCTGGTAACCATTAACTGGAATATAGAGTTGAGGAGGCGGGACCATTGGTCTCATCTGCCCTTTCATTTGTATGAACTGAGGTTGAGGAAAAGCTGGAGTTTTCTGCTTTGGTCCTATGTACCTAGCATTGCTAACATTACTAACAGGGCTTGTGCTAAGGGAACTTGTCTGTGTGGTGTTGCTTGCTCCAGAAGTTTGTGCTGAGCTGTTATAGTTAGAAAGGTTTCCCCATGTTCTTAGTCTGTTGTGTATATCTTTAAATCTTGGTCTTCTGTTGGGAAATTCATTCCAGCACTCCAGCATCAAAGTGTATATCCATGTGGGGCAGTCATCAGGACATGGCAAAACCTGTCGATTTCTGATCATCTCAATGACATCCTGGTTAGAATAACCACAGTAAGGCTGCAGGCCATAGCTGAAAACTTCCCACAACACAACTCCATATGACCAGATATCTGAATCAATAGAAAACTTGCCATACATAATAGCCTCAGGGGACATCCAACGGATAGGAAGAAGAGAATTTCCCATCAGTTTGTAGTAATCAGCAGCGTAAACTTCCCTGAAAAGGCCTAAATCAGATATTTTTACATTCAGTTTATCAAACACCAATATATTTCTAGTGGCCAAGTCCTTGTGAACAACATGGTGGCTTGAAAGGTATTCCATTCCTGCAGCTATCTGAGTCACAATCTGGAAGAAGTCTGCTGGTTCCAGAGTGGATTTTACTGTCTTGTCATCATCAGTGCTGCCAACATCTGAATGAGGAGATCTCATCACCAAAAACTCATGGAGATCACTGTGGGAACAATAACTGAAAATCATGCTGATGGGTTGTTCCTTTGTCACTATTCCCAGCAAACAGACAATGTTTGGATGCTGTAATCGTGATCTCATCATTGCCTCATGTTTAAACTCTTCCCGAAGAGACAATTCTGCTTTATCTTTCAGTGTCTTGATAGCAACAGCTTGTGTCTGTTCACCTGGTGCAGTACCAAAAAGATGTCCTTTATAGACTTTGCCAAATCTCTCCTCTCCTAGTTCCTCCATAAATCGCACAGTAGACAGATTGATTTCTTTAAGTTTAGCCTGAAACAAAGCAAAGAAAACAATTAGCAAAAAATCACAGTGCTTTCTGAACAGCAGAATCTACCTGTGAAAAGCTCACAGTGGTTAAGTGTTCAAGCTGGAAGATAAATGGGGTAAAAATTAGATAACTTTCAGGTAACTTTTTTTATTTTGCATATCCACATCATTATATGGATTTTACAGTCAGTCTTAAAATAAGTTATACCAGTAAGTGTAAATTGAACTATGGCGTAAAATGTATGAGCATCATTACTTTCACAAAGGAGTTACCACATTTCCTGCAAGTTAAATGAATCATCAGTTCAGAGTAAATCAGGGTAACAATGATATTATTATAGTATTATAGTTGCCCTACAGTTCTGCCCAGAAGCGTCCACTAAAGATATGCCAGAAAAGCCAAAAAAAGTTGGCAGGCTATAGGGTGAACTGAAACATCATTTCCAGTAGAGGGAGGTGTGAACCCTCTCTGAGTTTCCCAGCGTCCAATCTGTTCTTTCTCCACCACTGCATGACAGGAGCAGTCCTTGTCAGTGGGGAGCAGTTTCCTGCTGAGAAACTTTGAATTAGCTCTGGTGAGGAGAATGAAGGAAAATTTGCAGAAGGAGGAAGGGGGTGTCTTCTGATACAGGAAGTAACGGTGGCAAAGCCTTGAGAGAGAAATCCTCCTTCCCTTAAGGAAAGCAGGGGAGACTCTGATGGTGATCTGATGAATACATCCCAATGAGCTCAGCTGGATCAGTCCCTGGGCAAGTCAGACACAGTCAGCACAGCTTCACACAGAGGGTAATGCAACAGGAGAGGGTAAAACAGGCTGAAAATACTCTAACAGGTAATCTGAGAACAAGCTCTGATTTTAGTGGCCAACGGACTGTGAACTAGACCAGAAAGTTTCCAGCACAGTATAGGCTCAGCCATGAAACTTCCTCACCAAACAAAATCAATGACGTTTGTTACAAGCAGTAACATTCTGCAAATATTAAGAAGTTTCCTGAACAGGTGTTGCAAACTGCTCCAAACTAAGCACTGTTTGTAAGTGCTATTATTAAAAATTTAGGATTGGATATGAACACGATTTTAACATTTAGCTGACCCAGAAAATCGTATGAAAATGAGATCTTCAGACAGCAGCTCAAAGCCATTTTCTTTTTACCTTCCTTGTGATAACAGCCTTAGAAATATGGTGCATCTCAGCTTAGCTTACTACTTAGTGTTTGCTGATAATACGAGCAGACTGAGCCAACAAACTAGAGACATAACACCATCATGCATCCTGCTAGAAATGAGCAAAGTTACATTGTTATCAAGAGCAAAAAATGAGCTGCAGGCTGAAGGCTGGATCAGAAATAACATTTCCAGTCACTAGGACAAGAGGCAGAATGGGGACTAACAGGTAAGCGCAGATGTCATGAAATATTTTGTTCTGAAAGCTGCTGCCTGAGGCCAGGATTTCTAGATACAGTTGTGGCAAAACACGGTTTTCACTAAAGAAAATGACCAGCACAATATGAAAAGCAGATTTCTTGCAACATGGCTCAGTTCAAATACTGAAAATACGAGACAAGGTAAATCATAACATTAGAAACATGCAGCCTAAGCAAATTCTGAGAAAAACACCTGTTTGTGTTGATTAATGAGTGGCATTTCCATGTCCTGGCTGGGAGATGCCATCAGTTGGCGACGCTGTGGTGTTGTGGCAGATGCTTTCTGCTTGTTTCTACACATACAGACCAGAAAGAAAAGGCAGGCAATGACCAAAGGAATTGCTATGCTGGGAACCAAGATGTACAGGATTCCCATTTTGCTGTTGTCACGTGGACCTGTTGGCACAGAAAAGTTCTTTGTTTACAATAAGTATTTTCATGCTTTCAACTATACAAAAAAAGAACTACAATGACTGTTAATGCAACATTTTAAATAAAAAGTAGACATTTATAAATTGAAAACAGAAGCCATGTTACCCATCCTTTCTCAATAGTTTTTCAATAAATATTTCTAATAATTAGTTCAGAATAGCAGAATGAAGCAAAATGAAGATAAATTTCTGGTGCCAACTTTTACAATTTCCGATGGCTGCACCAGTATATTAGTTTATTTCACTTTATTTATAGACTTACAGTTCTGGAAACTGCAGAAAATAGAACAGTATCATGTTCTGGGAATAAAAACAAGTAGTCTTCATCATGGTACATTAAGCAGTAACCTCAACATGATAAACAAGGGCACACCACCACAGTCTGGCCTTCTCACTTCATTCCAGATATTTGAACAGCATTTTATACACTTTCTACCTTCACTAGTACTGTTACTGCCCAGAATAAAGTAAATGTCAACTCTCGCTGGCAGAGATATTGTTTTTTCTGTACTTAAGAAAAAAAAAGTGCTTCTGTTGCTTTTCAGCAATTAAACAGCTATCAATACATCTAATAAGACTACACTGGAACCTTTCTAAAATACTTTTTAAAAATTTTTTTATTTAGAGACTGCAGGGCAACATAGTTCAGAAAAATTCACTGGAACTGTCTTTGCCCTTGTTAAGCCCCATCTGGAGTATTGCACCAAGGCCTGGGGCCCCAACACATAAAAAAAGATGTACAACTGTTGGAGCAGGTCCAGAAGAGGGCCACAAGGCAATCAGAGTGCTGGGGCACCTCTTCTGTGAGAAAAGGTTGAGGAGTTGGGTGTGTTTAGCCTGCAGAAGAGTAGGGGAGTTTATAAGCAGAAAGAGGACCGACTTCTTGCATGGTCTGATAGTGACAGAGCACAAGGGGAAAGTTTTAAACTAAAAGAGGGGAGATTTAAATTAGATGTTTGGAAGAAATTATTTTCTCAGATGGCAGTGAGACACTGGCATAGGCTGCCCAGAGATGCTGTGGATGGCCCATCCCTGGAGGTGTTCCAAACCAGGTTGGATGGGGCTCTGGGCAGCCTGATTTGGTGAGTGGCAGCCTTGCCCACAGCAGCGGGTTGGACCTGGGTGGCCTTTATGGTCCCTTCCAACCCAAGTCATTCTACGACCCTATGATACAGGCAATCTGTTACAAAAACAGTATGGCTTCCATGGTTTATTTGTTCCCAGAAATAAACACAATTTTCTTCCTAAAGAAGCACAGTATTAAATTGCTTTGCCACATCTAAATATTGTTACCACTGTAACAGACCTAGAATGAAGTCTGCACCAACACAAGGAAGTAATCAGGACTGTACTGAGCTGTGAGAAGCTGCTTTTCATTTTTGCCATCAGTTGTGCAGATAGCGTAGGACACTTCTGATAAAATCATCTGTTTTATGACATCTCTGTTTCTGTGTTTCACATCAAAACCAAGCAGTGTTATATCTCCCTCTACAGGATCTTAAAATTCTTGCTGACTGCAAGATGTCATACAGAGAAAAAGGTAATACAATTGAGTAACATGAGCAAAGCAAACTTACATAGGTGATGTTCATCATCTAGCAAGGAAACATTAAAAGTGTACAACACAAAACAACAGTGAAACATTTGAGAGATTAACTTATTAAGTGAATAGCACTTGTAAAATACAGACAATTCAAAATTACACAGGATTCAGGAAAGTAATAGTGGAAAAAAGAAAGAGAATACATACTACAAGAAGGTATGTCACACAGTTCCATGCGTACGTTTTTATTCTTTGTAAAACACCAAGGCCCATCCATCTGACCCCCAGGATTCCGGCAATACGCATGTCCTCCACCTAGCTCTGGAAACTGTGTGCTTGTTAGGTCGTGGTTGTGGGGACTCTGGGAGTCCCAGTGCTGACAGATGTGGCCAGATTTGGTGACGCTGACTGTTCCTCTATAATCTGCTCCAGAACCGTTGTAGCACTGATGATCTGTTAGAAAGGATTTGGCAAAAGGTTGCAAATAACAAAATAATTAGGGGTCAGCAAATCTGTAACAGCTGCAATGTGTAGATCATTTATGTTTTTTTAAAAAAAGTCCTTTGAGTACTATAAGTACTTTTAAGTATTTAAATTTAGGTCCTTCAATATTTAAATCAAAGCTATGGGTTTTTTTTAAAGTTTCAATTCTGTGGCCCTCTGTTCTCTTTCACAATCAGTTATGTTTGAATTCTAGTTTTTCAGCCTATAAAGCTATGGCTACACACATCAATATTTGGTACTTTTGTATGTGAATTGGTACCAAGTAGACATTAGATATAGGACAAGATGCACTGAACTGAATTAGAGATATGAGTTTAAATTCAGGAAAAGTCTTCTGATGCCAACAGTGCAAACTTCATACTACTTTTATTTCTCATAATTTCCTGATTTTCTTACACAGATGACTTCCAAAAGAAACATGCTGCATTTTCTGTTGCCTTGCCAGATTTTCTTTCCTTTTTTCTTTCAGAAAAAAAAAGGACTATCTTTTTAGTACTCGTCTTTCATTCCTGGCACCTGAACTGAAACACACCTTTTTCTGCATGCTTGAAACACTGCCTTCATCATTTTTCTGAGTCTCCTTCCCCAGCCCTCAGGAATGCAACTCTCACAAAACTTTTTCCCATTATCTATAAATCAAGGGTATATGCACTGCAGCTGTTCCACCAGAGGGAGCAGCACTGACTCCAAGAGTCAGAGACATCCATACTTTCAACTCTTTACTGGATTTCTAATTACTGTTTTTTATTCCCATTCCTTTTGGTTGATTTGGTTTTCCCATCAATTTCTGAGTTAATACTCCTTCTCAGCTACATCAGCCAATTGCCTCCCTAGAATACAGCAAACATGGCTACTTTGATGCCATTACCCCTGCTCATAAATCTTGGTTCAGATAATGGGTATTCAGAATAATGGTACTTAGCTCTTTACACATCTTTAGTCTCTAGGAGCATTTTAGGAGGACTGTGATTAATTGCTAGGAAATTGAGTAGGCAGAAAAACTGCGATCACATAACAACTGGTAATCGAACAACCTTTCTACTCCTGGATGCAAATACAAATCAAATAAAGTGAGATTAACATTTTCCACCATCCTGCATGGGTGAAGAAAGACAGCTACACTTCAAGCTTGATTTAAAGAATTAGCACTCTTGTGGATTTCTTCACATACACAATGAACAGTAAAAGTTTAATTTCTTAGCAGACTTTTCCAATTAAGCTTCTACAGCCTACTTAAGTTTTACTGATGTGTAAACAGAGCTCAAAAATAGCAGTATGGGAGGACTTATCCAGAAAGTTAAGAACTAAGTGAGCAGTGAGGGACAGCTCATGGGAAGGGAAAGCTGCAATGCACTACTCTCCTTAGCACAATTGATTAAAACCTGTTATGTGAATATGGAGTTTCATAGCCATCCGTAGTTGATATAACCCCTTCCACTACAAAGCACCATCCTTTAAGCCTCCTCACCACTTTAACCATACCTTAAAATAGTGCAAGATAATGGTCAGTATCAACACTATACAAAGTAGGTAGCACACTGGCTTACATCGGCTGAGTCTCTCCACGGGGATCCCAATCCTTATGCAGTTGGCAGCTTCCAAGGTGTCAGGTCGTGGCAGATCCTCACACTTAGGCAACTGTAGCTGCATCAAGATGAGGGGGTTTGATCTAGCAATGTTGTATTCCTGTCTACAGAGATCGTTTTCTAGAACTTCACACTCATCCCGGCACAATTCCCGTGGTTTTGGGGTCCGGGAGCGCTCGTCGCACAAAGGAAACACAAAGTGGCAGAAGGATGGTATAGCAAACTGTGAACACTGGTCAGACAAATGCGTAGAAGTGCCAATCATTGTAAATGCAGCTGGAAAGGAATAAAGTTACTGTTTAAGCATTAATTCACAATACATATAAGAAACAACACAATTGTTTGCCTTTTACAACTTTCATCTTCTCATGATGGTGTGAAAACCTACTGAGTAACAGGGAAAGAAACAAGGCCTTTCCTATTGCAAAGGACAAATGCAAAAAGCAAACTCCGACATCTGCACATTTCTTGCAGAATCTCAGTTCTTAGGAAGTCACCTATGTGACTACTTTTGAGTAACTGCTGACATTTTATTAATCTTAACTTGAAAGGATAAATATCTAAGGCAAGAAACAACTGCCAGAATGCTGACCTATTTTCCCAAAGTGCCTAGTTAGATAAAATTTGAATGAGGATAACTTAGTTTCTCTCCCTTATAGATGTTTTGATCAATAGTCAAGCATTTTGTAAGCCTTGACAGGCTTGGTATTTGGAGAGATGTTGCCTCTGGTAGATAAGGGAAGCCAAATACGTAACAGTAATCAATTTCAGCATACTGATCATAGATCACTTTAAGATGTGTTTTATGTTGGTTAAGACCTTGACCTTCCCCTTCAGCCCTCACTATAATAAGTCTACACAATAATATTTATCTGGGAGTTTTCCTGCATGTTTTTTAAAAACAGACAAGTGAACATGTGCATTATGTATCTGGGGACAAATCAAATTAAATACAGTAGCATTCATTCCCACATTGGAAAATATCACTTGTGAGCAAGGTTTGCTAGACAGTACATCCATCAGTGTATACTGCAAAGAGAAAAGAAAATTAGTTCAAGTCATTCAGCAGTTTAGTCATAATCTGCATATCATTTATTCCCCTCTTGTTCAGCTCTCTCCCTTCCTATCATCTACTTCTTGGTGCCATCTGCTATGAGAGAGCCTCTTGTCTTTTTCTCAGCATCACACACGCAGCAGCCTGAGCTCCAGCCTTTTGTACTGTCCACATCTTTCCTTATTTTAATACAGGAATGTAACCTTTCATCAGTCACCCAGGGAATACTGCATGCAAGCACAACATGAGGCTGTAAACAACAGCTATGAGGTGAGCTTGTCTGTAAGATGGAAAAATTAAATATAAGGAGTGAAGCAGTCACAGTTGGCTATCTGAAAATTTTGTGAAGGTGCTACAGAATTTAGATTGGCATAAGCAATGAATACCTAACTAACAATTATGGCCACAGTTTGCTGGGAGATGTCAAAAGCAAACAGGGTTGTATAACGATCATGTAGCACAGAAGCAAGACATGCAAACAAGACAGGCAAACATGAGCAGTCTCTTGATTACTGGGTGCCAAAGAGAAGGCAGCAATACTGGGAACAAAGCCTCAGCATTAAGCATCTCCCCTTCCAAGCCATCTATACTGTTGTCACATTTCTTGTTCTTCAATGAATGCCAGAAATGGCCCAGAAACATCATTAGACACTCATGTTTTATAAGCTCCTTTTTCAAAGCTTGATCGCTCCTACAAAGCTACTGTGCACCTGAGAATTTATGTTTGTATTTCCAAGCCTCTTTCCAGATTGTCTCTTTCCAAACTGAAGATTTGAAGTAGAGTATCTGAACACAGTATGTGGGAAAGATGTAGACAGTATCCGAATGAAATATGTGGGAAATATGTGGAAAAATTAAAGCAACTAAGGGGGTTGATTTTCAGTCAAATAGACGTTGACCAGCATGGCAAAGACATTGCTAATTACACATATCCACAGGTCAGGGTTCAGGTCCATACATTCTTTATTGCTGGCCTTCCAATCTGTTGAGTTTTAGGTTTTTCCATGAAAGCATCCTTTTGGTTTTTTCAAATGCAAAGGCTCAGATTTTCACATAACCACATGGCTGGGATCAAGCAGAAGTGCAGGCAGTAGAGGTACAGTGAACATATTTTAAACAACAGCACAGCAAGGAAATGAAAATCCAGAATGAAAATTCCTCATTGATTAGGTCTGTATCATTTTAATGAGGTCTTAGCATCAGACAGTAGGTGTCACCATTACCCAGTCACAATCTTCCCAGAGTGGTGGATGGCACTGAGTATAAAGAGATTCCACCAAAGACTTAAAAAGCATAGGCAAAAATACAAGCAAATTCTAAGGACAAGTTGTCAAAAATATCCTGGTATTTGGGCTAAGAACATTAACCTTGAAACATTTACTTTACATTTAAGAAGAGTTACACAAAAAAAAAGTGTACGGCATTTATTTTGCATAAAGCATTTGGTATGTCCTTCAGATGTATATAACTTCAAAAAGTAGTATTATTCATACTGTCTAGTTAGACCCTATGCAGCTGTATGTGTTGGTACACAATTTTTTTCTATTAAAGAAGGTTTCAACCAGGAATTCTCCTCAAGTTCTACACCACCTTAAGTCCCAGTCCTTAGCCTCCAAAATCCATCCAATAATCAGTGGTACTAGGGAACCACCAACCAGATCATGAGTGTCCATGCTGTGCATTCCAGAAACAAATATCAATAATTATTTTCTGGAAGACATCATGATTTAATACTTCTTTTTATTTGTTTCAGTAGGACATTATAAAAATAACACACAGAATTACAAATCTAATCATTTCAGATGAGTGAAAATTTTCTAATTGTTGAAAACATTCAATCAAGGCGGAAATGACTGAGGTAAAAGTGGTATAAGTACTATGAGTTAATTAATGATAGAATGGTAAAATAAGCCAGAACTGCAACAGAGTACAAGAAAAAAGAGAGGGGAATGAGTCATAAAAGTATAAGGAGAGGTCAAAACTTGGGTTTCAACAGCCCCAGTATCTGATCACCATACCCCAGAAAAAATGGATCTAGATTTCTGGCTTGAAAATAAACCTTTAATGTCATATCTTTAAGGAAATACCTTTAAGGACATAGAGCAGACAAGTGAAGTCAAGTTTTTTTCTTGGCAACTACTGTTTCTAAATTCCAGATTCAATTAGATAGGCATATCAGGCTAGATCACAGAATCATAGAATGGCCCGGATTGAAAGGGACTACAATGATAATCAAGTTTCAACCCCCCTGCTATGTGCAGGGTCACCAACCACTAGACCAGGCTGCCCAGAGCCACATCCAGTCAGGCCTTAAATGCCACTATGGATGGGGCATCTACAATCTCCTTGGGCAACCTGTTCCAGTGCGTCACCACCCTCTGTGTGAAAAACCTCCTCCTAATATCTAACCTAAACCTCCCCTGTCCTAGTTTAAAACATTCTCCCTGTCTTATCATTATCTACCCTCGTCAGCAGACATACCCCCTTCCTGTTTATATGCTCCTTTCAAGTACTGGAAGGCCACAATGAGGTCCCTCGGAGCCTTCTCTTCTCCAAGCTAAATAAGCCCAGCTCCCTCAATTTTTCCTCACAGGAGAGATGCTCAAGCCCTTCGGTCATCTTAGTGGCCCTCTTCTGGAGGGAGCTCTGCATCTCTCTTGTGCTGGGAGCCCCAGGCCTGTACACAGTACTCCAGATGGGGCCTCACAAGAACTGAGTAGAGGGGGACAATCACCTCCATCTCCCTGTTGGCCATCCCTTTTTTAATGCCGCCCCAGAACACAATTGGCCTTCTGGGCTGCAAGTGCAGACTGATGGCTCATGTCCAGCTTCTCATCCAGCAGGACCCCCAAGTCATTCTCCACAGGACTGCTCTCAAGGAGATCTTCCCCCAGTTTGTATAAATATCTGGGATTGCCCTGACCCAAGTGCAGCATCCTCCACTCTGCCTTACCGAACCTCATTATGTTCACATGGGCCCACTTCTCCACTTCTCCAGCCTGTCCAGGTCTCATGGTCCTGGCAGACATGGGAAGCCTGACCACCCATGAAGACTGAGGCAAAGCACTCATTCAGTACTTCAGCTTTTTCTATGTCTGAGGAAGCCAGCTCCCCATTACCCTTCATCAGATGGGGAACACTCACCTTGGCCCATCTCCTCCTGCCTATGTACCTGTAGAACCCCTTCTTGTTATCTTTCACATCCCTCGTCAAGTTCAGCTCCATCTGTGCCTTGGCTTTCCTAATCCTATCTCTACACACACAAACAACAGCCCTGTATTCCTCCCAGGCTACACAACTCTGCTTTCACTACCTGTACATTTCCCACTTTTCTAGCAGTTTAAGCTGCAGGTCCTTGCACAGCCACGATGACTGCTTGCCTCCCCTGCTCGACTTCTTCTGCTGGGGGATGGAGAGCCATTGCACAACTGCGCTCCTGCTGGACTGTGTTAATTCTCCATATATAAGCATTTTGCTCTATTCCATGAACTCTTCCCCTTGTTCTGCTTATGTCTATCAGAATCACAGTGATCAGTCTGATGGGAGAAGATTCAATGAAGAAAAGCCATGCTGATATACAGCCCACTTGGAAGTAATTCTTGTTTTGGAAACAAATTTCTGTGTGCAATGAAACGATCAGAGAAAGAAGTCAGCACAGGCAGAGCACAGGAAGGTCAGCTCTCGCTTCATATAAAGCAGTCTGGAATACAGGCTCTCCTGAGATTATGTGTAGGAGAGGAAACACAAAGGAAAAGCTACCATGCAGAAAACAATTTTTTCTTACATCAGAAGGTATTTTATTTAAAAAAAAAAAATCTTATATTGGAATCTGTCAAGCAAAAAGTTTCAGTGTAAACTATAATTTGTTAAAAAGTCAATGTCCTATTATTTTACTTGAGGACATGGAAAGAGCTTTTATACAATAGTAGATACTCATCTTTCTTGCTCCAAGTTCTACTAACTGCAGAAGTGGGAAAATGGGTCATCTACCTCAAGCTTTAATATCTTAGTCATTGACTTGCAAAACTGAAAAGGATAACAAAAGGGCCTGTATCGATATTGGATTAGTTTTCTGTCTAGCTACAGAGATGTATAAGCTTACCAGTAATTCGATTTTCAATTTCCCCTTGCATCTGTAGGGAGTCCACATAAATGGTCCTGTTTCCAATGATTCGTGCGCATGCAATTCCCCTGTACGGTTGACAGAAACCATCTTCATGGTAATCTTCTCTGCAAAAGACGAGTTAGGAACATATAAGCAGATGTCTAGGAATGAATAACACAATAATTTTTTATATATTCTTATAAAAGGACAGAACTCCAGAACATTATAAATTTGAAACTGTTCAATTCCCCAAATGAAGCTTTCTTCTCCAGTGCTGCCTGCGCTATCTCAAAAATATTAACGAGGCACCTTGTAAAAAGGAAAAAGTAAAACAAAAACTGAGACTAATTTAAACTTCATATACTAATAGTAATGGAGTTTGACAGATGAATCTACTAAAAAGCTGCTAGACTGAAACAGCAACACAGATGTTTTTACGTGTCCCAATTCACTTTTGCCATCTAACTGCATCCAGTACAACCAGGCAAATAGTTGGTTCTCTTCTCCCACCCCACTCTCTCCCCTTCTTCTTTCCTGCTGTAGTGAAGAGCAGAAGATACCTTGCCAAACTTTAATTAAAATAAGAAAAAATATCCAAACTCTGAGTTAGGTAAACAGAATGAAAAGTAATCAAGGTTTTAACCTATTTTCCTCCTCTCTCTGGACAGAATCAATTGCCAAATTCGTCTTCCTACATATAACTTAATTCAATTGAGTTAGTTTGTAAGCCAAGTTCAACTCCTTACATCATAATAAATACTCTGGCATAAAAGAACTAGCTCTAAGCCCTGGTGTTCAACACGGCACCCTCAAAGCCCAAGTAAATAATACAGAGCTGATGTGTAGATCATAACTATTTGGGTACCGCAAAAGAACGAACCCTTGTGAAGGAACTCTCAGAATGAATCTTCACAACACCATGCATTTCCTCTGGTATGACACAGCCAATGTGCTAGGATTCACTAGCTTGAGTGTTTCCTATGACTCAACACATGATGTGATGAAAAAAGCATAAAACATTATCTAGAAAATCATCAATTCTAGGACACCCCAAATCTTTTCTAAGGGCCAGTTCAAACACCTGATGTACTCCTCTAATACCAGCAATATTTGAAGTATCACTTCAATACTCTTCTGCACTTTGTATGCTATTTAAAATATCTTCAGACATTATGTGTTTTGGCAACACATATTTCTATTTCTCTTACAAGTATCTTCATCTTTCCTGCTCATCATGTCACATGAACAGAACAAGGTAATCAGTGAAAATTCGTAAAACCCTCAGCTGGGCCATATCTTCACCATAACCTGCTGTCTAACAATAGCTAATCATGATAAGCATCATCATCCAACACCTACCCAATGCTGAGTGCAGTTATCATTTCCAGTATCTTATTCTGTTTTAGAATCATCCTTTGCTTTTTTTTTTTTTTTTTCTCTCTCCACTATGGCTCCCTGGTAAAGCTCTTCAGGGAAATGACACCTCTATTTCTGAAGTTATAAGCCCCTTGGATGTGGAAAGGTGGGCAGGGCTGTCCTGCCCTGGATAGGATAGGCAAAAGCTGGGATCATTAGTTAACACCTGAGCAGCAATTCCCCCTTCCCTCCTGGAAAGACGATGACCTTATCCATCACAAATGCTGATTTACTATATGAAGTGCCTCATGTAGTTGTCTGTCCCTTATTTCCTACCACAGTATGATTGTTATTTATTAAAAAACATTCTGTCTGAAAAAGTTTAAACAAATTCTGCTTCCAGAAAGAGGCAATTTGTATATTACAGTGGATGAAGAAAAGGACGCATCTTTCAGGATTGATTTATTGCTACAGTGTAATTCTTTCACACTCATAAAAAAACCCCTCTAACTTTGCAACAACTGCAACATGCCTGAGGGGACAAAAATCTCAAAGTGATTTCTCTGTGCCTACTTTATGATCCTTGACCATCTCAATAGGAAATAAGCAATTCTCATAATGAGCTGAATGAATATTTGACCTATTTAACCTTTTTCTTGAGAATAAATTCAAACTGTTACCCCGCAGAACAAAGTCTGCAATGTATCTAAGTGAAACTGTACCTCATACTTTAGCTCTCAGGGAAGGCTTCTCTTACTAGCACAAAATAAAATAAAATAAAATAAAAATCTGTGAAAGCTAGCACGGGTTTGGTGACAAAGGCAGTATGATCTCTTACTTAGCTCAGTTTATTTATTTCTGTCAAGAACTTCTAAATGCAGCTTAGATACTATATATATAAACACATATGCTCCCTTCTCTCATGATACAGTTAACTGCTGATTAAACTAAACTGGATATGACCATTACTATGGATGCAAGCAAAAGTAAACAGTAATCTGATGTCAGATACTCTGTCTGTAGCAGAGCTCTTGCTCTATGTGTGTCTTAGCCAAGACAGAGTTGCCAGTGAGTAGTACATGGTCAGTACTAATAATAAAGGGGAGAAGAGTTACGTTAGTCTTCTGAGCAAAGGAGCTGATTTTGAGAAAGCTACAGTAAAGACAGAAAACAGTCTCCCTGCAGACTGCTTTTTCCCTTTGCAACTCGGCACACAGCAAGTGTTTTTGCAGCAAAAAGCAAGGTATAGGAAATTTGATAAAATAGCGCAGGAGAAGCAGCATGCTCAGTTCAAACAGGCAGCTTTGGAACCATATGCTGTTTTGATCTGTGCTCTAAATAATATGCCAGCAATTCAGCTGCTGATTAGAGAAGGAGTTTAAACCTGCTGAAAATAGGCAGAAATACTGACTCTTCAATTTCCTGCTCCTTGAGCTTTGAAGTCTGCTCTGATCAAGAACACTGGTTCTTCCTCCTAAAACCCCAAATTCAATTATGATAAACACCATCCACTAGTTTTTCAGGCTCAGAAAGTTATCTTATGCCAGAACAATAAAGTTAAAAAACAGGTTTTCTAATATAAAGCCAAAGAAGGAAAAAAAAAAAAAAAAGTAGTATCAGTGTTTTTGTTTTTATGTACAATACATGGTCTATCTAAGATTATTCTTGCTTAACATGTCCGGAAACACAAAAAACAACTAAGCACTGGTAAAAAATCTACATATTCCTTATATCACACACATAGTGCATCACACAATCAAAAACAGTGTGCTTAGAAGGAGAAGCAGAAGAAATTTGTATAAAATGGAAAACTGAACAGACAAGCAATGAAAAAGAATGACGAAGGCTCTTTGCTGCAGTGCCTATTCTAATCTCCTCACAGAGACAGAAACTGCGACTTCCAGAGACGTGTGGCTCTGTAGGAGAGGTATGGAAAGACCTGTGAACTGGAATAAAACACAGAATGCGGTTGAGAATCTTTCTAGATAGAGATATCCTATGAATGATTTGAATCCAGGCCTGTTGCTTTTAAGTTGTCAGGAGATGAGACAGATGATCCAGTGCAGGACAAGCTCTCTGCTCAGATGCCCCTCAGGACCTGAGGTTGGGCTGTAACAAGCAGCAGCTTTGCCTCATATAGTTAGAAAGAAATGTTATTCAGGACTAATGGCTTTCTTTACCTATAAACTTTACCATGTAACAACTGTATCAAAGGTTATGCAAAAAAGAAGGTCAAGATGTCCTCCAGAAGCACACAGAGACAAGTCCAGGGGTGCTACATGTGTTGCAAAAATTACAGAGCACTGCTACCCCCCTGCAGTAAGCATTACTTTAATTTCAGGTGACACAGAACAAACACTCAACAAAAGACTATGGAAGAAAATACCTAGGAAACAAAGAGGCTTTTCTGAATGGAAAGTCTCATAAGCTCATAAGAATACATCTGGGTATAATACACTATATGACATCTATGTAACACAATCTATTGTATGCAACTGCCACAGTCAAGTAGGCCAGAGGCCAAATGAAACAAAAGAAGTCCCAGTAAATAAAAGGCAATTGTGGAAATTCTGCTCAATACCAAGATCATCTTGTGAAGCATGTAAGCCTAAAGAGGGTTTGCAGCATTTACTTCATCCCCTGCAAACACAGCTGACCTACTACCTTTACTTGCAAATGGAGTCAGTACTTGAATGCATACATCAGCAAGATAGAGATTCAGATTAAAATGCAAGTCCAGAGAATTCCCTGTAAGAATGATGGTTAACACTGAAAATTAAGTAACTAGAAATCCGTTCTGGCACAGGAGCAAGCTGGAGAAGGGGGAACTAAACAACTTGCAGTAAATAAAATAGTAAAGAAAAGTAATTATTGCAATTATTTTAGCACTGAAAGTTATACTCAAGTAGTTTCCTATAACTCACTTTTTAAGATGCCATAGAAAATAATACAACAAATCTTCTGATGTATGGTTATTTTGTATACAAAATTGAAACATTATTTGTTCAGAGAATATTTGCATATAGTCAAAAACACCAATTCATCAATTTTTTTGATTGGCAATCAAAATTCTGAAGTCCACATTGCAGTTCTCAACCAAGTAAGAGGACAAAGTTCTTGAAGATTCAAGTTAGGTAGTCAGATTCAATACATGTAAGAAAAAAAGTCAATCTACACTTTTAATAAAGCTAACAAGAATTTTAGAATTTTATTTTGAGAGTAATTTGCTTCAGTACACTGAAATAATAAACTTACAAGTTATTCAAAGGTATCTTCATTCAAAGGAATTATAGGGTTTTGTTTAAAGAGGTAAGCCACGTTAGTGTGTGGGAAGTGTGTTGAAAAGTGCTGCAACAAAACATCAGGGATTTCTGTTTTTAATACATGTATACATCCATGATTTGTTTACACTACACCTCTAACAGGGAACTATTAAAATCTGGTACTACAATCCTTGTTATTTGTTCCTTCTACTCTTGACATAGAATATTTCAAGGGAAGGATCACTTTTCAATGGCTAAAATGAGTTCACATGTCACAGCATTCACTATCTCTTACTAATACAGCTTCACTAGACTAGAGAGAAGAGAAACATACAATCTTCATCATATGTAGTCTCATTTCTATAAAACTTTCTTCCAGTCAAAAATATAGTAAGTCTATGTTACTATTCTTGTAGAAAAATACCTAGTACTTCCAGGTCAGGTTTGTACCTTGAGATTTCTGATAGAAGTATCAAAGAAAAGAAAAGCAAATTTTTAATGCAGTT